CTCTCCAGAGGAAAATAACTGACTTTATTACCATTCCTACATATGACTTTACACTTTAATGCTGTCTTGAATGCTTTTAAATTTCATATAAATGGTATCATGCTACACTTAAGAATGTGCAACTTATCTTTCCCTTTCTCCTACTGATACCCATTTGTTTCCAATTTTTATTACAAAAAGCTACAATTGGCTTGGCGCCTGTAGCTCAGTGGCTAGGGTGCCGGCCACATACACTAGAGTTGACATGTTCAAACCCAGCCCAGGCCTGCCAAACAGTGACTACAACCAAAAATAGCTAGGTGTTGTGTTGAGTGCTGTAGTCGCAGCTACTTGGGAGGCTGAGGCAAGAGAATCACTTAAGTCCAACAGTTAGCAGGCATCCTCAAACTGCAGCCCACCTAGGACATTTATCCAGCCCACGAGGTGTTTTTGCTGCTGCTGCCTGTCCTGCTTAGCAGTCGACTGGTCCCGGGGCCCACAGTCCGGCCCTCCATCAGTCTGAGGGACAGTGAATTGTCCCCCTGTTTAAAAAGTTTGAGGACCCCTGAGTTAGAAGTTGCTATGAGCTGTGACACCACTCACAGCACTTTACCAAGGGCGACATAATGAAACTCTAGCTCAAAAAAAAAAAGGCTACAATTAATCATCTTGTACATATCTTCTTGTGAACATAAGCAGGAACTTTCTCCATGGGGTACCCCATTCCTACCATGAATATGTAATCTCAAGACAATAATTTCTGTCTGCTTAAATTTAATACTGTACCCCAGTGGACTCAATCAGTATCATGGACATAGTAGACACTCATTTGTTTAAGTTTATGAGGATATTACCAAATTACTTTCCAAAGTGGTTTTACCAATTCTGTACTGATATCAGTCTTTTTTATTTATTTATTTATTTATTTATTTTTTGGAGACAGAGCCTCAAGCTGTCCCCCTGGGTAGAGTGCCATGGCTTCACAGCTCACAGCAACCTCCAACTCCTGGACTCAAGCGAATCTCCTGCCTCAGCCT